TTCTGTTATAGAAACTTAATGAGGCTCATTAATTTGCCTATGACATTTATCTTCACAGTCATTTCTTTTTTCTGTTGACACAATCCCTTTTCGTCCATTTTTCATATCTTCAATAATGGCTCAATAAGCAATATCCCTTTCATTGGCACAAATGCTACACCTCTCTAACTGCTTGGATAATTTGAAACATGACTGGACTGTTTGTTGACAATTTTCAGCAGGAGGTTGCGTCATTTCTCCAAAGAAATTAAGTCATTCTGCATTGTAAGCATAAATATTGTTTTCTAGTCTAAAAGTTTAAAAGAAGAGTGAAGAAGAATTTTTAAATCTTAGCCACGTGTAACTTTTTTCTTCTTTATCCGATAACATCAATTTCATTTTTAACACCTCTATTATTTCAACCAACTCGAATTTTCCACATACGTTTGAATGGCAACGATTTGAGCATCGATCTATTCAGAGAATATCGGAAAGAAAAATTGGTTTATATGCTTGTTTGTACACTTCTGCAAAAATTTATATCTCTTATCACTCATATCAGTCTACATTCCAATAACAAGTAAGAAAGTGCGAGAATCTGGATTAGTACAAATTTGAAAAGATTAAAAGAGAAGGAAAATGGAGTAAATCTAGTCTGGTATTATTTTTGAACATCGGCAAGGAAGTAGCCCAGATAGGTCAAGATATCAGTCTGTTTTTGTTACAAGAACATATAGCATTGCTAATAATGATGCATCAGAGCGGAAATCGAATCTAAAAAGGATAAAAATCATTTTTCTGCACAAAGCACCTTGTGTCGTTTCTACAAATTTTTAAACTCACTGTCAATAATTTCTTGTAATGATTTTTGCGGATCAAAAGGAAGTACAAAGAGAGTAGTACGATTTAACTAAGAAATCTAAACAATAATTTTGGCTGATCCATTGTCCTAATGGAAATAATCCCAGTGATTGCCTAATCCGTTTTCACTTTTAGTTAAAGAATATAACAAGACAATGAACATTTTTCGATTTCTCTATTGAAAGGAAATGCTTGGATTATGTAAATCAAAATTATTCATTTTGAAAAGTTCATTTGATTTTCACCAATACTGAATAATTTCAAAGATAGTTCCGTAAGAAGGGAGAAAAATGATAGTGAGGTAACATCAAATATTGTCCTTTTCACTCGTTGAGTAGGCATATGAATATGTGAGATTGTCTAGATCTGCATTTTTTCAACGTTCCATTTCAAAAACATACTGCACTTCATCTATTCTTCATAACCCTGCTTTTATAATAATCTAACAAGCAGCTCAATAAATTCTCTTGGGATCTTTGAGCTTAAATGGTCGACTAACAGCACTTTATAAAATAGCAACAACTTTTGATTTTTATCATTTCATCAGACTGTCCTCCTTGTTGTTATCTTTCAACTTGCAACATTCCATTGCCAAATATTGATTCATATTGATAAGTATTGATCGTGTATTGACTTTTTTCCTTATTAGCCGAACTGAAAACTCAACACCATTTGGAATTATAAAGGGACAATCAAAAAAAAAAGTTAGCTTTCCTTAACTCTCCCATCTTATATCCTTTGCTTTCTCAGAATAATAAGAAAATTCAGCTAATTGAGCAAACGACAAACGGTAAAACGGAAGCTAATTATTTTCTAGCTCCTTAGCGATTCTATTTGCAGAACTTCAGATTTCTTTATAGCCTTTAGATAAAGAAATGAATAACTACTAAATAAGCCATAGAAAGAAGCCGATCTTGTATTTAACAATGGGCAAAATAGCTGAACCGGAAAGCCTTGCACAATTTCTCTAAGTAAACAAAGTAGTCCGGAAGTTTATTTGCCGGGGTAAACTACCTTAAAATTAGATATAAGCCCAGCAATGGAACAGGAAAATAGAAAAACTCATACAACTTCTTTCCTTCTTTTACCCCTTGGACCACTGTCCTTTTTTTCAGTGTTATAATCAGGTTTCCTTCCTCTTTTATATTTACATAAGCTTAAGGATGAGAAAGCAGAAGAAAATGGAAAGTAATGATGAAGGAAACAATATTGTCATCAGAGCTGGAACTTTCTGCTTTCAAAATTTCAGCTTTCTAACTGATATTTATCAGTTCTATCACTGAATGATGGTTATGCAATTTATCTTACGGTAACATGTTATATTAAGTTTAGGAAGAACCAACCTTTCTCCTTCCCACCACAATTCTTACTTCACTTTCTTTCTTCTTCTTATCCATGTCAATTTAATTTAGGAGCAGTAATCTTAGCTACTAATCAGTGCATATCATTTTCTAGGAAAACAGAGAGAGAAGAACCATGTACAAACAGTTGTTTTGTTGATAGATGCTATTGATGTACTCGACAATATAGTTAGTAGTAGTCTTGTAAAAGAGAGATCTATTTTCTAGTTCATTCTTTTTTACTTTGTCTTCTGAATTGTACTTATTTGTTATCGTTTTCCTTCACAGTTCATTTCCAAATTTTAATACTCTTCCTTTTTGTGAGTAGTTAATCCTCAACTCATTATGATAAATAATTAGTCTTTTGCCTACATAGACCCGAAGAATGAACTTCAGTGCTCTTCTAACTTGTTGCTTATTCCCGAGTGGCTTATTCCCATACTGCGCTTATCTCACATTTTTTAAAATCAAATTCAAGCCAACTTAGAAATACGGATTCTGCTGTAATTAATAATGATTACCCGTTTGCAGTAAATGGGAAGACGAAGAAAGACATAAAAAGAGTAATGAAACTTGAAAAATCATTGCGATGAGACTAAATGGCCACTTGAGAATAAACAGAAAACTTTTTACTTAATTTTGCAGGATCTAGAGATCAGTATATGCAACTGATTCAGAAAATAATTTTTTTGCAATGAAAAAAATCTGATGAAAAACGCCAGCACTTCGCCAATCACACTTCAAGACATTTCGGAGAATTTATGAATTTATTTCTACTTTCGGTTTATTAAGAATTCTCAGAAGTCAATAAGTTAAATAATTGTGCATTGAGCTAATTTGTGAAATTTTTTTCTTCCAATTAGATTCTCATTTTCTTCAATCTTGACATTTTCACTTTTTGAACTAATTTGAATCCATTTAACAGGTTTACATTCTTGACTCATTCAAGAAATTTCAATGGTTTTTTAAACTTTGATTCCGAATTTTATCTCTTCTTCAACTATTTTCCTCCAGTATCAATGCAAAAAGTAAAATTTATTTTCATGCTGTACATTATTTTATTTTTAATTCAGTTTTCCTTTTTAAAATTCACCATCTCTTCTACTTGCGACTGCTCCATCCTTATCCATTTGATAAATAGCTTTGGCAAAGCAGAAACTAAGAACTCCAAATTTTTTTTATAATTTAACGAAGCTTAAGTTAAGTGAAAAATTATGTATAGATGATGAAAAACTAAAAGCATAAAATTTTAAGACGTTAACTGAAATACTGCTATCGTAATTCTAAAACTTATTTAAGTGGGGAACCATGCAATTTACTCCTTTCTGGGTTCTTTTTCGTCAAATTATTCTTAAAATCAAAGTAAATCTCCTAAAAGTTTGGTAAACTTATTAAGCTGAATTACATATACCGCTTAGGTATATTTCTTTAGAATTTGATGAAAACAAAGACACGCTTTTACATGTGGCTCTTTGAGGATCCCTTTTCGATTTTTCGTTGGCAAACACCACTTGGCTTCTCGAGCTGCAGCTCAATATTCCATGTTTTCTCTTTGTAAGGCTCATCCAGCTAGACATTTATGTTTGTTCATCCATTCCACATAAAAAGGGAAAGCAACCAAGCATTCGCTTTCTTCTGAAATTTTACTTGTTTTTGAAAAGAACTTGAATTAAAGCTTAGCAGTAAAATATTTACTTTCACTAATAATACTTATAGAAATTAATACCGCACTTCCATTATTCACTCCTTTTCAAGTCTCAAAGTATGCCTCAAAGCCTAATATTGAAAATATTAGTATTGATAAAAAAAATGTATTAATTCAATATAAATAAGCTTTAAAACATGAATGTTTCTAGGTCAAATTGTTACGCAATTCTTGTTTTATTTGTGGAAAAATAGATAATATTTTTAGAATAGTTGCAGTTGAAGTTATTTTCTGAATTTCAATGAAAGAAGAAAGGTGAATAAAAAGCGGCGTGAATGGGAGCAATGAGAGAACAAAAGAATTACTACCTTTTCAACTTTTGTCAGCTATTTTCATTTCATGAGAAATTAAAACTGTTAAAGATATTTTCCTTGAATTTTCATTCAAGAAAATCAACCAATAGCGGTCGTAAAAAATTTGATTTACAATTGTTTCTTGATATAAGTAATGAGGAATTCAGAGATTTTGTGCAGAGTATAAAGCGTATATTCTCGCCAATCCTTCTGCACATGTCAACTGGCACCTCCTCTGATGTGTTGAACAATTTGCTAGTTAGTTTCACGCGTCCACGCAGCATCCTCCCTCTCTTCTCTTTTTAGAATCACTGGGCTCAAATCTTGTTTACTTATTTTCGATTGTTTGATTACTGACCTATTAAAGATATCACCAATTTCTATCTGCACATAATAACAATGCTATTTTTATAAATTTCTTACGCACTGCCAAACTCAAAATTACTTGTTCTTTCTTTTTTATTCATTTGTAGATACTTTATTTCATTTTACAATTCACTGATTTCCTTTTGACTTCTGCAGAAATTTTTTGACCTCCAGGACTCAATTAACAAACGTAACATCCAGGTATATGGTTCTGAAATTATGAATGGTGCTGATCCATTTCGCTGAAAAAATGATACAAGCTATCTGACGCTCTATGTTCGCATTTGGTCTAATTCAATTTTCGAAATACATATTTGTAGTTTCAGTGAAAAATGGAAAAAGCCGTGATTCGAATGAATTTTATTTGAGTGCGAACATATTTACGCCTGTTCCGTAAAATGGTCTGTTTGCGGTTGTTCGTGTAATTTAAAAATATGTAAAAACTAATTTTACACGATGTCAACAACTCCGACTGACGAAAAAAAATTGTTACCAGACAAAAGGATCCGTTCTCGATCGCTAAAACACAGTTGTGGCGGTGAGGATTGCAGTGGTACAATAAGTTCGCTGCCACTTGAAATGCCTTCCTTGAATCCAAAAAAACGTGTTGAATCAATACAATCTCGACCATTTATCCCAATATCTAATCGGATACCACTAGCTCAAACACTAGCTCATCGGAAATTGCGTAAATATGCCAGTGAAACGAACTTCCCACTGGAAGCCAGCAGTTCTTCAGACCTATTATTGAAAGAGAAAGACCAGAAGACAGCCATCGGTAAACACAAAATATTTTCCGTGCGACCTGTTAAAACCGCTGATAGTGGTACGCTAATTCAGGATGGTAGTGTTCCGTGTTCTCAACATGTTAAGCGTGAAGATTCAGAGGGTGAAGCAAGCTGCTCCGGCAGTGATGCAACTTTGGCCAGCATGTCAATGACTCCAATTTTACGGCAGAAATCTCGGCGATCCCGTCTTAATCGGCCGAAAAGTTCAACATATATGTACGGGACATCTATTTCCTCGGATGCTTATAATACTCCGACATCTGCCACACTACCATCCGTTGATTCCTTGCAACAAATCGGACTGGGAATGGCAGGAAGCATGGAAGAACGTCGAGAAAGTAGCTTTTACAATATAGATGATGACAGTTTACACGAATTCGACGATGAAAAAGGTAACTTATTTAAAATAATTCAATATTTTTAATTCGAAAAATCCGCTGAGAAATTCTTTATTTCTCGATATTTTTCCTTTTGATTTTCCTATTGCCTTTTCAAGTTCTAACATTTGGGTAATAAATCTGTTAATTATCTGAAATTATCTGAAAGTTAAAAAAAATTGGAAAAACTTCTATTTTACATTAGTGACGGGTCTAAAAGCGGTTGAACAGAAACTGAAAAATTTTTTTAAAAAAACTGAGTTTACAGTAAAAATATTTATTAGTTTAAATTAATTTATGTAATTCATGCAGTTTTGAGGAAAGGAATGCATTCAATATGTCATGGACCATAAAATTTCCTTGCTTGATTTCTCTATTAAATAAACTTGTTAATGAACCTGCACATTCAATGCATAGAAGGTTGCTGAACAAATTAAGTTTTCTACTAAAAACATTCACATAAGACTTTCTTTAGACTGTTTGGATGTTTTGGTCTAGACCAAGAAGTCAGAATTAGATACATGTTGGTTTTTGTTTGTAAAGCTTCTAAAAGAAAAATTTTTCATGACATTTCAAGTATTATCAATAAGGATTGGAATGGATTAACTTAAGGATCCGGTGTGCTGGATTACATGTTTGTTTTCAAGACAAGATAAGTTGAAATTTGGGGACTTTCTAAGTCTTTATCAACATCTCAGTAATCATGCCTTGATCTTTTTGCCCTGAACTTTTGTTTTTCATAAACTCAAAAATTCAAAAGTTTTTTCTTTAACATTTGGACATGCTTTTTTTAACCCGTTGTTTGCATTAAAGGAAGGATAAAAATCGGTTAAAAAATAAAAATTTAAACAGAATTGGTTGATTATGAAAAAGATGGAAAATTTTTGTCAGGAATTTTTGATATAGCCAAGGTAATGTTTTATCTTAAAACTAAAGGGAAATGAAAGGAGAGGGAGAAAGATACCTGAAAATATATCTTTGTATTCAAAATATTTCAGTTCAAATATATAACAGAATACCTTATGATCATACATAAATGATATAGTATGACCGACCTATGGATTAAATATCCTTCCATTTTAAAATTTGTAGGCATTTTGTCCACCTTAATGACTTCCATCATTTCATTTTAATCATCATTCTTTTTTGTATTTCTATTTTAATTTGGAGTGTTAGGAATTAGATAATTTATGATTCCTTTAATATTAGCCTTCATTGGTTGGTATGTTCGCACACTTGAATTTATCTGAGAACATTCAATTTCAAAAATTAAAAAACAGTATTCCATTGTTGAATATGTAAAATTAATCAAGATTGTTTGAAAACATAATTAGTTTTGTCGGTTTGGGACAAAAACTATAAATGCAAATGAAGAAATCGGGGATTGGAATTCATATGAAAAATAAACTCTTTCTGTGAGCATGAAGGACCATGATAAAGCTTATGAGATTGATTAATAATTGCTTGTGTTATATAAAAACGATTTGTTATCAGAATTGATTAATTAGTTTTTTTTTTTTTTTTTTGCATAGTTCGTCTTATTAAATGTTAAGGTCCCCTAAAATTCGAAAGTTTCAGGGGATTGAAGTTGAATGAAATGCATTCTAACCAGATAAAAATCACTTTTTTTCAAAGTTGATACATAAAAAAGTAGCTTCCTACTGCTTAAATTACTTGTCATAATATTTAAACTTCAAAAAATTATTGTAGCTCGAAGGAATGAATTTGATAGTTTAAAGCAGACTGAACTTTCTAGCTCAAACAATTAAAATAATTTAAATACTCAGTAACGACCAAAAAACTTAGGTAATTTTCAATGATTTAGCCTAAGCCCATGACTTCGAAACACAATTAAAGCATCTGTGTATTCAGCACTTGATGAGCATTCAGGAAATCTCTTTTTTCAATTCATAACTTAGATTCGCGTGAGTGTCACAAAAATTAGCAATTAGCAAAAGTTCTGTTGGTAGAGTGAAATAATTTATCTTGAATTATCAGTTTTTAAGGCTGGTAGAGATATGGACAGAAATTCTAGGAAAATTAATTTTTGGTCAACATTTAGGGTCATTAAAAGATCAATGTTTCAATACTAAAATATTGTGAATAGTTACTGTTCATTTTTTGTTCTCATCTTTTCCATCTATTGAAAACAATTATAATTTATTAACTGTATGTGTATCTGTCTCTTAAGCTTACTTAATTTCGATAAAAATGTATGATAAGAAGAGTGAAGAAGGCTTCGTTTTGTATTATTGCAATGCCACTATGGATAGAATAAGCGCTTAAAAGTGCTTGAATGTCTCTCTTCGAATTAAATTCTATAATAAAAAAAGCAATGCAGCAGTATTTTTTCCGTTTCATTTCAGAAGAAGTATTCCTGCCAACAATTTCATTTCTGCTTATTGCACTTTCCACTCAATTCATCCTTGAAACTATTTGATCCTTCATTTCTGTTTCTTGAGATAATAATTTTCACTTCTCCTTTGTCCTAGCTTAGTTTGTCTTTTCAAACTTTTTTTTTGTCTATGAATGAAGAAAAAAGAATGAGATGAAACTCCTTTTATAGTATTTTCCCGCAGCGATGAACTATAGCGAAGTTTTAGAGCCAAATTAGATTTGAAATCATTTATCAAAGTAATGTACTTCATTTAAAATCCTCTCCACCTCTTTTTTCATTTTCTGTAATCTGTCATCTGCAGACTGTTTAGAGAAATCGTGTCAGTGCTTGCAGGATTGAAAAAAAAAAAAACTCCATTGAGGATTCGCAAATAACACAGTGATCATAAACATCCAAATGTTGACACGTTTCTGATATGCGAAATACAGGGAGAAAAAGTTTGTTTCTTGATGTTTAGTGAAAAAAGATACTGCAAACATTTAAAGTAATAAATTAAGAACAATTGCTTTAGAGTGATGAATTTAATTAAATTAACATAACAATTTATCTGTTTTTTATAGAGAACTATAAATTAAAACTTCTCGTTTATTTTACAATATTAAATTATATTACATTTATCAAGCACTAATCACTAACTCTAATAGCAGGTTTTATAATAATTCTGAAAAATATCTTATTATTTCTTTCCTTTCAAGGATGTGCATAATTATATTTTATCACTTAATTACTTCAAATCGGTGCAACTGGTCCAGTCCAGCCAATGAAATTGTAAGATATAGAGATTTTAGGAAGCTGAACTAAATTTGATTTAAATTTTCAATCAAATTAAGGAAGAACTGTAGTAATAATTCACAATAATAGAATAATAGATAAAAGAAGTTGAAAAAAATAAATAGAGGAAGCGTTATTACTCCAGTGATCATTTTAAATTGCTACAACAATTGTTAAAGATATTCAGAAATTTATCAATGCTTTATTTGTACTTAATCAATTATCTACGTATATAATTACTGTCTAATTTTAATTAATCATTACTTTAAATTTATTGTTACTCTCATTATAGGCAACAATGTGTATCATCACATCCTGCTAAGATTGTTAAGAAACTATTAAAAGTTTAATATAATTAAAATGCCATAACCAAACCAGTATTGAATGCCTTGAATACTAAGTAGACGAATCAATAAAAATCTTATTTACCGCTCGAATATGCGGCTTATTTTAGTATCATAATTTAAATGCAAAGGTTTCCTTCACTTTTCTCTTCTCCCGCAGTTGATTCACACACAGACGAAGATTTGCTTCCCACATGTTACTTTTCAGATTGATCTTCTCTAGAAATAGTTCCCTTTTGCTTCATCCATGCATTGTGATCTGTTATCTGAAATGGATCATTTTGTTCATCATTTCATTACATTTTGAACTTTCCGATGGGGCATGAAATTCAGCCTTTTGCCAAAGCTTGATCATCCAGGTATGTCGGACAAAATTTCGACTTATAAGACTGATAATATTGACTGAAATGTCAGAATATTACGGCTACTGATAAAAAACGTGGGCGATCATCTTCAAGTTTTTTCTATAAACAAAATCGAAGTGATTAGTAGTTGGCTAGAAGGAATGCACATCTACTTGGCTACTTCGGTATACCTATTTAGCTACTATGGTACAAAGCAGTATTTAGTATCGAGAAGAATATTTTTTACGTTGATTTGACTATTTCCAAATTATTTCTGGAATATGCTTGGAAGCTTTTTCATTTTGAATAATAATTAAATTTGCTTTATTTTATTGATCTTGGATATTAGTCAGTTTAAATTTGTATTTTTTTGCTTTTATCTTGATCGTTCAAGCATGCATCCTTTGTCCGGCGGATTTATATTTAGTGATATATAACTTTGTTGAAATTTTGGACAAGATCTTTTCATGAATAAGTTAAATCGTTAGCTCCGGATCACTTAGCTGTAACAATGTAACAGTAGTGTTTGATTTCTGCAGTAAGACTTTGGAATTTTTTGTTTTAAAAAGACGTCTTTTCTCCCTCGTATTTCAATTACCTTCTTTGGATTGCATACGCACACACACACTCAAAACTTAATATCATAATGTTAATATCCACAATGTCATTTCAATGTCTTTTTATTTATTTTCCAACAAATACGCAGAAAAAGAAAAATAAAAAAAATCAACCACACTTTCTTTACGCTTCTTTTTTCAAATATTTTAACCAATTACTTTTGACTGACCCAAACGATCGTGTAAGCTTCATTTATTTCAACATACATCTATAATTTTAGATTATATTTATAATACTGTTGAATGTCCTATCAGTCATTTACAGGAAAATAAAGGAAAAATCAGTTACACTTTCAAAGTAAGTATAATTTGTCAATTAATTTGTTAGTTAAACATACTACATATTGGTAGGTGACCTAATTCTAGTGGTACAAATAGTCGAGAAATTTGTTTAGAATTGCCTTTTTTTGACATTTTATGCGCCTGTTTTAGTACTTGTCCAAATACGTCTCAGCTTTACATAATTTTCTAACTCATAAATCTATGCAAAAAGCTGAGATAAGTGTTTTTGGAATTAAATTAATTCCATACTAACATTTTATATTTGCCGCATGTCACCACTCGAGAATCATTCATTCAGAAATGAAATTAAATAGTATAACTGCCGATTTACTTGACTGGAATTTTGATTTCATAATCGATAAAGACAACATTCGCAGTTAATAAAAGTACTATGAAATACTTCAGCTAAAGTAAGTTATTAAAAGAAGTAAAGTATAATGTTCACATTTAATTACTACATTGATTTCTGTAATTTCTCATTTATAATAGCTCAGTTTTTTTGAGAAATGCTTTTTTAATTTTCAGTGACCACTAAGCAAATGATTGATTTCCGTCACAAACTGAATGAATTTAATCAATTCACTCCTAAATAATATTGATAATTTTCTTATATAATAGATCTCTTCTTTGCAGACTCATATCTAATATAATTCGGCTATCGGTACATATTTATCTTGCTATGAAAGATCGACTTCATAGAAATTATAAATTTTATTGAAAATTTTGAGATTTCTTAAAGAGATTTATGCATACATTAAACTGAATAAGGCGGTGATTTAAATGAAGAGAACTGATTTTGAACATAAAAATCTTTCATTTCCAATCCAATACAAAAAGCTGAGATAAGTGTTTTTGGAATTAAATTAATTCCATACTAACATTTTATATTTGCCACATGTCACCACTCGAGAATCGAACATTCATTAACTTTTCAGGTTGCGGGAATATAATTTGTCAGAGTGCATTGAACATTCAGATTAAATGGATAATCTTATTTGCACCTCTCTTTCGGACCACAGTTTTTGTTTTTCATTTTTGATGAGAATAATAAGGAAGAAATTCGGGACTTGATCATTGTTTGATGTATAAGATCGCCTGAAATTTTCATGTACTATTGATTTGTTCTTTTTTCAAAATAAAACTAAAACTTGAGAAACCAAAATAAAACTTCGAATGTGCATTAAAAGGCGCATATTTGTTGTTATGGAAATAGGAATCAAAAAGTAATTTCATTTCGCTATTGCTACATATGAATTCTTAAAAAATAACATTACTCTACTGATATTAGCATATCGAAAAAAATTTCTGTGAATAAATTCTGATAGATGTTTCTTCCCTTTTTGGTGAAGAAATTTGCTTAGAAATTATATCGCATAAACTTAATAGTTTATGATATTATGGTACATATTTCCTGAAGTTACTTTTCGTTTCGGTCTTTTCGACTTATTAGAATAACAAGTTGATGAAAATCTTTCTAATTTTTCTTCCTTTTGTATGATTAAAGTGTGTACCTTCTCTACACAAATATTTCTTGGAGAAAAAGCAAATGTTAAATAACGGATCTCGTAAAATCCTGAAATTTTTATGTGAAGAATAATAGTAGAGGGATATTCATATTTATGTCGGGATACTTTGAGATGAGAATGTTCAATATCTAGTGCGTTGTCTAGCATGCTAGCTTGTTAGGTAAGTTAACATCTAACTGATTCACTAATCAGACAAACTTATAGCCACCAACATCGATTTGATGGAAATCTTTCAATCAGCTTCATATTTAAATAATTTTTTTGACAACTCTCTTCTGCCTTGTAGTGGTGAGATTGATTTGAGGGGATATTGAATGAAGGCGAATTGTGTTCTCCTTATTCAATTCTCCTTATTGTCCAATTGCCGGATCAGTTGTGGATGCGTGCTATTCCTGTTGGATAATAGTCGCATTTGAGCTAATTGCTTATAACTAGACTGCCTAGCTTGTCTTGTCTTCAAGCATAGCTAACATTGAATGAGTGTATCGAATTTGTTAAACAGTTCTCCGTTCATCCTCGTTCCATCGCCTCCTCAGGCCTTCCTCAAGCTTCTCTTTGTTTTCCATTTCATCCGTTAGCTCTTTGCTGTTTGTTTTATCCATTCTTAAGCTTTTCTCGGAGAGTTAAAAGAAGAGAATATCATACGTTTCTTTTCTCTATTTGACAAGCAAATCAACCGAACTAATTTTACTCCCGTCGCTAATTTCTTTATCTCTGTTTTCCAGTCTATTGCCAGATATGGCACAACAAAATCATGCCATTATACTACTGCTGTTATCAAGCAATTGCTGCAACCCGTCCACAGTTTTTTTCGACAAAAAATTAGAAATAAGTAAATTTATTAAGATGAAAGGAATGTTGAAACTAATTCCATTTGGGATAAATACGCTGGTACTGAACTACTTTAGACTGGTTATTGCTACTTATTAATCCGTCATTGATTTATCTTCATCAAATTTGCATTTAGGAACGGAATCGACTTCATTTATCCTTTTAACACTGATATTATTTGTTGAAAATCTATCTAGAAAAAGAAAGCAACATTTCCACTTAACTATTTCAAATGAAAAGTACCTTTACTACAGATTTCCAAATTCCACATAGTTCAAGGCCGAAAGGACAAATAGAACATGCATCTGAAAGTAGTTCTGAAAATCAAAACAAAGATTCCATTTTTGGTTCTGACGAAATTATTTTCTCGTCATCTGCTCCAAATACGGGGAAAAGCAGTCACGAGGTGAAAACATTCGAGGTGAACATGGAGCGATTGCTAGTGAAACATACTTCACATGCTTTATCTCATGCTCCGAAGCATCGACAAATTTCAGTTACATCGGAAAATTCAATGGTTTCGTGTCCACTAATGTCACCCATTGAAAGTGTACTTCATATTAATCCTATGACACGTCTTGCATCTTTATTACGAACTTCATTTATTGACGAACGTAGACGGTCTATCCAGGCTATCGATTTTACTGACCAGAAATTATACCAGAGAAGTGGTTCTCAACTACCCTTCGTCTTGGAATGTGATACCATGGAAAGCAGACCACTGGTAGAATCAACCTCATTAAATCATATCAAAGAGAACATGAAAAAAATACCAGAAGAAAAGATTGCGCAAAGTGGGCTGGTACGACAAGTAATACTTGAATCTGATATTTCGGAAATACCACTGTCACAGTGTCTTGCCAAACGAGTCAGTTGGTTATCCATAAAGAATTTTCAGAGGAACGAACTATTCACAGGAATAATGGCTGCAAATAAACATAATCATCAACAGATAACGACATTTAATTTAAGCAATGAAACATTCAGCACTAGAGATGGTTCCCAAATGAACAATCAATTTGGTTCAATGTCTCAACTAGATCGCAGCAGTTTGTTTGACAAGGAAACTGATACATCACCTCTTGATACCCTTAGTTGGACTAATGCAGGTTCGTATTCTCCATTCTTCCTTTTCCTTTCCTTTCCTTTATCAATTATTCTTAACTAATTCATCCTCAACGTCGTCAAACTCAACTATCCAATTAAGCATTTTTTAAAATGCTGAATGGATTTCATTAATGTAAAATTTATAAAACAACATAAATTTTTTTTGCTTTAAATCAATAAGAAGAAGAAGAAGATTTAATTACTCCTTGTTTTAGAAGATTTTTCCATTTTTAATCTTTCGCATCAGATTACACACTTCCTTGGACTTTTTTCCATAGATCTTTTGTCCATACATTACTTTTATCCGTATAAAGATATCTACATGTCAAAAGATCTTTGACGGGTTCATTAACTTTGCAATATTTCTACAGAGAATCATCTGGCTTGAATTTCATGAATGATTTTATTTACCTTAAATGAATAAATGTACTTTTTGATCGTATTCTTTCACTGCAGTAACCTTTTTGGACTTAGAATACATTTGAAAATGGAACGATTGCTTAAAGCTGTTTTTTTATTAAAATGCTTTCAGCAACTCATCAGCAGCTGTCATCCAAATATCTTATTAGTAAATTAACACATTAAATTTTTTTTGGCTTTTTATTTTGCTTATTTGTGTTAGAGCACAAACTGATATAATGAAATAAGGCTTGTTCTAAAGAACTACTTGCTAAATTTATTTTGAGCCATTCAGATGATTATTTTCAAACTGCTGAGAAATGAAGTGTTTGAGTGGATAAATTGTACAACATTGAATCATTTTTGGAGTAAACAAATGCAAATTGCTATAAATACTGCTAAAACTATAAAACTTTAATTATTAGTATGTGAATGTTCTGGAAATAGATATGGCGAGAAAATTTGTTCACTTCCAGCAGATCATTAGATCCAGTCTTTCAATTATGCAAATTGGTGATGATCTGAAATGACATCACATTTCATTTGCTTCGAAATAAATTAAATTGTATTTGAAAAAATCAATAAATTGTTATGTACATCACAGTTAAGCTTTAAGGAAGGAACTTGGAGTTTGAAAGTCTGAAAGCTTTATTTAGAAATTTAACTTCTTTAAATTACGAAATCCATAATTTGTAATAAATGCTACAAATGGTATTATTTCAATTTCAATATAATTTATCAAATAACAAGATATGAATTTTCTCAGGCCTGTACGAAAGCTTTGTTCAGATTCATCTCAATTGTCTCTCTCACTAATAAAATTAAACAAAAAATTTTATCGGAACATAATTTCCTACTTTCCATTAACATAATTTCTGTACTTTTCACTATTGGTGTGATGCTTACGGACAGCTTTTATTTAAACATTTAACCTCTTTAAATTGAGAAGTCCAAAATTTATGGTAAATGCTATCGTAAAGAGTAGAAAATTCATGGAATTTAACTGAATTTTAGGCTAATTTTAGGGAAATCACAAATTCTATCTTTAGCGGAAAATGTCTAAAGTCTTACAACATTTTAGCTTGCATTTATATCCTCCATAGAAATCAACAATGATAAAATTGTTATTCCACAATTATGCCTCAATAAATTCACATCCAAATGATTTCAATAATCATATCCTGATTTAAGAATTCAAAAATGCAAATTTAATAGCAAACACCACTCGATTTCAGATCTTATTACAGAAGTAATGAATCAATTACCTTCAATTACAAAATTAAACCCAAAATGAAAGATATTTGAACCAGTTGAAAAACTTTAGTTTTGACAGTTCTTTAGTTTTTGGGCTTTGTATTAAGCTATTTGAATTTCATTTCTTGAGACATTCTCGGAACGATCCCATACGTTTCAGATGAGTACGATAATATAACATTGATGTATGCGAAGCACGAAAAAATCCCAATGAAGGATTTTGGATCAGAAATTCGGGCAACGATGGACATTGATCATTTGCTCAATAAATCTGTTCTTCTTTTGGATTTGCAAGAAACTTCTCTCGAAGAGATTTTTGCGAAGTAAATGATTTTAGATTTAAGAAATTTAATAGACAATTTTGACTTGAAGAAATATCTCCTTTTTATCTCATGGGAATTCGTGAATTATTTTGGAAAATTTATGGAATTTGAATCAAGGGATTTCGCTTTTAGACTGATTTTAGTGAAATCACAAATTTCGTCTTTAGCGGAAGGAGTCTAAACTCTTAACAACATTCTGGCCTGCATTTATATCATCCATAGAAATCATGCAGTGAATTTCATGAACTGTGATTGCATAACTGCAAACTAACAGCAATTATCCTCTTTTAGAATAATTCATGAAATGGACATTCAGGAACCAGAATTTACCAGTGAGCAAGTTCGGTCGGTGCTTTTCACGCAAGATTCTGGAAATCAATGTAAGTCTTTTTCTGTCCTTTGTTAGAATTCCTTTATTGGGCAGAAATGTATTGTTATCATAACTGTGTAAATGCATTGATTATAGTCCATATACTGAGCCGAACCGTACAAAGTATCTGCACAACGGGCACAGTCGGTGGTACTTTCGATTACGATCAATCTTGGATTTGTGCCTTGTAAGGGATTAATCAATTTTCGAATTTTAATTTTTATATTTCATTATTTAATTACATAAAGCAAGTATTATTCTTTTTTTGAATTGTATCAAAGATTTAGGTATCTTTCTTACTGTCTAAATACAGATTGCTCGTACTTCTGACATTTAAGATTTACTAGGCTTTTTATCATTCAACTGCCTGATAGATGAATGTTATCGCTGCATGTAAAGTGAGGTTTGATAAACCAAAAATTATACCCGAATTCTAAATAAGGTGAATGACTTAAATCTTTTGTGAAAAATACGATGAAAATACAGAATCCATCTCTCAGTTTATAACCAGTCCGATATTCCGATGAATTAAGACAAAGCAAAATGAGTGGGAATTTTATTTTTAATTTATTTATATTTCAAAAGTAAAAGTTTTACTTATTTCCATACTTGAACATATATTGATTCAGTGTTGACCATTTTTTTTACTTATGTTAAATGAGCTATAATATTAGCAGAGACTAACAGGGGAAGAATAAGATATTTTAGAATATATGATTTTGGAAACTTGGTAACTTAAATTCCTATGCAGTTACTAAAACAATAATTAACTGTTTTAAAAAAAGTAGAGTCTGCCATACATCTCTCAACTGCAGAAGTTTTAGATAGAAAAGTTGATGTTTTGCTTAATTCTGTTATATATGTCAAAAGTGAATTTCATTAAAAATTGAAGCTTTTCCGAATTCAGGTGTATGTTAAACACGGTGCAACACAGGCATGTAGCAATTGCTCGACTCAGCCATCCTACTAATTTGGGTCGTACAATGCAAGATCTGCGATTTATTATCATTGTTATTGCCCCTTCGCGAGCGGTATTATTTGACATTCAAAGTTTTTTTTATGCTTATCGCGTCACTTAACATAGGTTCTTCAACAAAATCAAACCGAGACAGCTATCTACTGTTCTCTTAAAACGATTTGTGATATCAGAATTAGTCAAGTTCACGTAACCGATGAGAAATACTTTGACATTCGCCAGTCATGCAACAATTCTCGGATAATTGGAATTTTTCCATCTATGCATACATATCCATATTGTTATTCCCATATTCTCTGAGATCTTTAAATTAGCTTTCGTATCTCTCATTCCACTTATTATTAGAACATCTTAGTATATTTCATCAATATCTCTTAGTAGTTAGTAATATATCGTAGTTTATTCAGCTTAAAGCTGATAAGAAATGCAATGACAGTGACAATTTGATAGTAAAGTACCTAGCAGATTCAGCAGAAGGAAAATTATAATTTACGCCCTTTCTATGATAAAGCAGTTGAGATGCTTCGATAGAAAGTGAATAATGTATATGGCTACGGTAGAACGAATTTTGAATATTTTCTTAAGCAATTCATTAAAGCATTTTCACAAAGTTGTTTGTAGAACAGCAGATTTGTGAACAGACATTTTCTTGAAGCTTATGGAACATGAAATTTTTTAAGTGTTTTTTGCATGTGAATTTTTGCACACAGTTTTTTACACAGTTTAAAATATATGTTATTACTAATGATTGTTATTTCAGAAAGGCACCAAGACAGCACTTGAGACGACACGAACATTTGCAACACTTTTTGCGGATATGGATATCAGACAACGACTTGTCATGGCGCAAAGTGTAGATCAATTTAGGTGAATAGTAATTTTGATCTTCAGTAAGCATGGATTGGATTTCTCTGCACCAAATGAAATAAGATTTGAAAATTTTTCATTATATAGAAATTTATAAATATGAAATCTTTTAATTATCTCCATTTGCTACGATCATCTATTAGAATGGTACTACATGATTTTTTGACTTCTTACATAGATACAAAAATGCTTGCAATTCAGAATAAGTATTACATTTGGTCCTATAATTTCATATGTGTTAGTATTAATTTCGTTTTTCGATTCTCGTTCACTCCATTCCTTCACATGAAATTCCAAAAATTAAGCGTTATTTGGTGTTCATGCTTAGATCTACATTACTGTCAGCAGCTAAAGAATTGGCAGTGGATCAGAATCAATGGCGAGAAAGAAAAACATCGATTCATTTCAGTCAAGCTAAGGAACAATTGGTCAGTTCGATTTCAATTATGCAATTGTTTCTTTTGTTTATCATTCAGTAGAAATGGACTCTTTTATTTTTCTTCTACCAGAGTGTTATGCACTGTGTGTGTTTTTTTTTCCTTTTTGATAGATACAGTATGTGATGAAGAAGGTCAAGATTGAAGTATTGCTAAGGGGAAATAATGACTTGCTTATATTTTAGTTTGGTCCTGGGAAATGGTATCTCTTCCGCGGACTCAGTAACGATTTCCTTAGACGTATTAAATACTATTCTTCTGACTACCTGGATGGTCAGTTATTTCTCATTTATCTTTTACTTTCTTTTAACAGTTTGACTTAATTAACTTAATATTTCTTTTAGGATTGCGCGGTTCGAAAACAATCCAAAAATTGTTTAGCTCGATAGTATTCCTATATTTTGCTTGTCTTCTGCCAGCAATTGCTTTTGGTGTTTTGAATGATGATAATACAAACGGAAGTATTAGTAAGTTTTTCTCTTTAAGTTCAGTGTTGCAAAATTGCTGAAAGAAAATTTCTATCAAATTAATGTATCATCTTTGATTATTTATTATCAAGCTTTCAACAATATTTGTGTTGACAAGTGTAAATTGTAGATCGTCTTGACCTTATTTGTTCAAACTTATTTTTTATTAATCAAATAAAAACTCAGCGAATTTTTTCTTTGTGGCTTAACAAAAGAAGCACAGAAATACATAGCAGATTTGTTTTCTTTAGTATTTTATTATTTTTTAGATGTGCGTAAAGTAATTACCGCTCAAGCACTTGGTGGAATATTTTTCGCAATATTTGGTGGTCAGCCGATGATTATATTGTTGACAACAGTACCGCTAGCAATATATATTAAAGGTGTCAGATTGCTCAGACTAACTGCTTATTGAATACGTTACTGATAGTGATTAGTGATGTTAGGCTATTTAATTAGCTGATAGTAATATTAACTACTGTTTCGTGATAGCTTTGATAGTCCGTAAAGTATTTTCTTTCTGAAATATATAACTGAAATTTTAGTGATATATAAAATAGCAGAAGAACTTGGCTATGATTTCTTTGCAATGTATGCTTGCGTTGGACTATGGTGTCAACTTTTTCTGATCCTTTATGCATCTACTGATATGTGCAGTTTAATGAAGCTAGCTACAAGGTTCATTTTTACGCCTAAAATCTATTGCTCTATTCAAAATTAAACATAAGCTTAAAAATATACATGGTAATCTGTGTTAATTAGTAATAAAGCTAAATCTATAAGACAGGTAGTCTCAATCGTTTTTAGTTCATTGTGCTTTCTTTATAAAGCATTAAATTCCATATAATAAAGTAAATTTTAATTTCAAAACCACTGAAAACCTTACGTTTAGCTATTACGGCCAATGTTTTTTTTCAGATCTGCAGAAGAAATGTTTTCGCTATTTATTGCAATAGCATTTACTGTGGAAAGTATACGAGCGCTGCACACAAGTCAGTTTGTCTTTTTTCAGCTGAAAATTGGAATTTTTCTCAAGATTATCTGAAAAATATGCAAAAGTTCTAGATTTTTCATTAAAAAGAAAGAGAAAATTCATAGAAATTAAGTAGCAGGGGTGTTATCGAAGCAGGAAATGAAAACGGCGAGTTACGGAATGCAACAAGTAGCATTTAAGAATCAATAACAATGATATATCGCATGGCACTTTGCTATAAATTTCAAATAAAAACTTTTCACATAATTTCACATAAAACAATTTCCATCAGAATCTCAGTTTGGTAAAGCTGTGAGAAGCTTATCAATATGATATCACATAGATATAATATCATGAAATAGAATATGATATCACATATAGAAACTAGTAAAAGAGTATTGAGAATATGCAAGTTATAAGAATATACAAGTACCAATTTAAATACTACTACTGCACCGCGTAGAAATATAGCTTACGTCAAATTGCTGTCTTTGCTTATTAAAGCTAACTGACATTATCCTTGTTATCTGGATGCTCTCGAAGGAAGCTTATTCCACAAAGAAATAGCAACTGAGGAATAATACATAGAGATACTAAGCATGCCAATCCAAATGAACTGTCATCTAGTATCAATAAGTTCACATTCTAGAATCAAACTTTGAGTTTATCAGGTGCAAAACAGATAAAACTTTCGAATTATTTTGGAATTTCGAAACATTGCTTTATGGAAGCATAAATAACTACAGTATGAGATTTCTCTACTTTTCTTGTTAACTTTCAAAAGCTGAATCTCTTTTTAGAAGATCTTTTTCAAATTCTTTTTTTCTTTTTTCCTTCTAGAAGGAGTTCTGAAATAAAATAGGATAGCAAAGGAATTGCATGAAGAGATAAGTTTCAGGTTTCAAGAAGAACTATCACAATTGTGATAGTACCAATGTGCGAAAAAAAGGAAGCGTTGACGACGATCTATTGCCTTCATTCCGGTTAAATTCGACATCATTCTCCTCTGTTGTTGATATAGCGGAAACGAGTACACCGTTTCAGGTAGTATCAGAGTTTTAATGAGTATTAAGGGGGCGAACCTAAACAAATGATCATGATAATCAAAAACTTCTTACCAAAATTCAAGCTTCAGGTTACTGGAAGTATTTTACTTATAGCAAGTAGAGTTATGTTTGATGTTCAGGTTCATAGTTCTCGTAATTTCTCAATATTTCGGGGAACATATCTGTTTCTTCGAGCAAACATTTTATTTTAGATGTATGATAAACTTTGCCATCGAGACACTTCAATTTTATATATGCTTCTTATGTTTGGCACATTGTGGCTTGGTCTTTTTTTATATAACTTCAGGTTATATTTTTTGACAAAGTTTCGTTTAATTTTTGCTGATAGTAACAAGATATTGGTGCTTATCTAATTGAGGACATATCGATCTGTGTATTCCTAACTTCATTTTCAAAAAATTTGCAGTCAAATAGTCTTTTAGGAAGACGCCTTATTTGACAAGGTCACGTCGTGAATGGCTAGCTGATTATGCACTTCCTGCTTCAGTTCTCATCATGTCGTTTACGGGTGCTTACTGTTTTTATGATATCGAAAGTTAGTATCATTTATTGTCACATCCATTTTGCAGTCAAGACCTGAATTTGGCTTTAAAATAATTTGAGTTATGAGTTTAGAAATTAAGTATTACTCGAAAAAAAAGTTAAAAAAAATCAGAAAAAACAGATGTTAGAGATGATTGAAAATTGCTGATTCGCAAATTTCACTGAAATCTACCTGCTGTCGACTTGGCGCTCATTGAATATTTTGCTTTTAACTTTTGCTTTCTTTGATTGACTTTTATAAATCGTTCTGATTAACTTTAGCACCTTTCCTAATATCAAATAAATTGGAACATTTTTCAGAAGACAAGTTCAAAATGCGTACAAATTTATCGACATTCACTGTTGCACCAGTGTTCTCACTACCGTGGCAGGGCTACTTCGTATGCTTACTTCTTGGTTTCTCATTATCTTTTCTTTTCTTCATGGACCAAAATATCACCTCAGCTATTGTAAATAATCCACAAAATAAGTTCGTCTATTATTTTACTTTTTATGATCGCAAATTTTTATTATCGTTTCATGCATACTAAATTTTGCAATATGTAAACGCTACATGATAAGTTTTAAACATTAATAATATTAATTAATTACCATTAATTATTAGTGACAATTGTTATTGTTATTAATTATTATTATTGATACTAACTATTGCTATTATGAATTACTGCTGCTAATTATTATACTATTATTATTATTTTACTATTATTAATTATTGACTTTAGTTCAAATACCAATTTGTAATCATTTTGGAATGATATTGGTGTTTTTGACATGAAAATCCTGATCACAATTTTCACTATTATATTATCTTTAAAACGTCATTTCAGATTAAAGAAAGGTCCAGCTCAAAATCTGGATTTGTTTGTAGTTGCAATACTGAATTGTTTCTTGTCAGTAATGGGTTTGCCATGGATGCACGGTGCACTACCGCACTCGCCCTTGCATTTGCGCGCACTTGCTGATGTGGAAGAACGAGTGCTGCAAGGACATGTCCATGAAGTGTACGTTCGCTTAATTTATTTTCCTTTATATCAGATTGATTTGCAAGAATATCTGGTCAAAAATTTTCCCTTTGCAATGCATGATCAACGACTAGCTATGTCAAAGCAATTTAAAGCTTAAAACAAGTCAGGTGTTATTTGAATATGAGTGGTTAATAATTTGCACAATAGTGAGCTGATTTTATATTGCGTGCCATAAAATACTCTTGAATTGCCATATCTATTGTCTAGTAGCACTATTATTGTATTGAGTGGTCAACTATCAACTTCGAGTTATTTCAAAAATTGAGCTCATTACACAAATTCAAAAAAGTATTTTAGAATAATGAATGTGCGCGAGACACGGCTAGCTACATTAATAGCACATTTATTGATATTAATTTCAACATTTACACTATTACCGTATCCTCTCCAGTGGATACCAACATCCGTATTACACGGTTTATTCTTGTACATGGCACTTACCTCTTTAGCTGGTAATGAAATGTTTGAACGATTATTATTACTTATTACTGAACAAGTAAGTGTTTCAATTAAATTTCATCATAAGATAAGAGAATAGTAATGTTGAAATTCTTTAAAGCTTAAGAATTTTATTCTATTAGCAAATTTCTCATTATTGAGGTACGCATACAAAACGATTCGGAATTTTTTATGCTTCATTTTCGTAAGTACGTCAAGGAAGATTGTTAGACTTAAAAAACTTTTCAGCAAGCTTATCCGCCTACTCATTACATCAGGAAAGTTCCTCAGCGAAAAGTACACTTATTTACTGCCTGTCAGCTTGTACAGCTTTTACTACTTTGCGCATTCGGATTTTCACCCTATCCATTTATTGAAATGGTTTTTCCAATTGTCTGTTTCTTTTTCCTACCTATCAGGTAAACCATCTTCTTTCTGATTGATATAATCAAGTCTATATGTTTCTGTTATGATCAAATGAGCGATAATAGGTATATCATCAATGTTGATATTGCAGACATACGTTGATACCACGATTGATTGACTATAAATATTTGGATGCGCTGGATGGAAGACATTAGATAATTATATTAACATGAAAACTGACATAGTACGTTTATATTGATAATATTTTTTATGATTTTGTTGCACTGTGTATTTCATCTGTTATACCAAAGATATAATATGTGGGTTTCGTAGTATATGTCGTAAATTTTTTCTCACTCAAAAATTCATACGACTTTCAATTCAAAATAAACGTTTTGAAAAACATTATAGTGAAAAACATTATAGTGCTTGTATGTGTGCATGTAAAGTGTGTGTGTGTGTGTATCTATATAAAGTGAAGCTATGTAAAGTCATTCATCACAACCGAAATTACTAATTAAAAGAAAAGATACAGTAATTTTATTCATCTAATTTTACAACCTCATCAGACATTGTGACAATGGATAGACGGCGATCAGTAAATAGGTGCAACCTTATATGTACATATATATACAACCAAGTATAATTTGTAAAGATCAATCAAGTTATATTTAATGATCTTGTTCTGTAACAATGCTTTTTCTCACAAATTGTGGATCTGTCAAAGAAAAGTCTTCCTGAAAGAAGTAGAGGATGTGGTGAAAGAAATATTAGCAATTGAGTATTACAAAAAGTTACTGTAGTGAGCACATGAAGGATCATCGAGAATTATCCACTATTTGATTAATTCTAATATCAACAATAATTTTGCGACTCTATGATTCATACAGCAAAGTCACCACCAAATTATTAATGACAATGTCTGAAGCATTGAATCTGAAATAAATGGTGCAAAAACTGCTGCAGAATAAATGATATTTCTCAGAAGAAATATCACTAGGTCATAATCTGATCGAGAGGCTGGTGTGGGATAAAGACTTAGCAGTCTGAAATAAATATAAAATTGATAATTCTAGGCTCCCTCTATCTTTTTCTTTCTCCCGTTACATTCCTGTTTTATTTTTCTTTTTTTCACATGCACGCTTTCTTCTGATTAATTAATATCTGAACAGGTCGTAAAATTGGGTGAGTATCCGGAAAGTAATAACACGGAAAAATCGATGATAGGATGAACACTGAAAATTGTATTGATGATCGTATGCACATTATATATATACTAACAATTTTTTCTATTGTGAAGTCGAAATTTCCATGAAAGTGGATTATACTTCAAAATTTAACAATTGGAAATTATTTCAAACATCCATTTTTTCTTTTTCAACTGCAGAGATCGGTCTATTTTCTTTCATGATCATAATCTTTTGCATAGAGATAAGTATGGCTCTGAATATTTCTCCTCATTTTCCCTTTAATAGTATGTTGAGAGATATCGGAAAAGCAAAAGAAAGAAGAAAAGGAGGTGAGTACCGATAATATTTCTGACAGATTTGTTCTGCGATGAATTCTGGGATTTCTCCAGTAAATGAAAATTTAAGTCTTTCTGCAGATTGCAGTGATGTCATTACTGCAATTCGCACTGCTTTCGTGGATACTGGTAGCTGGAGCGGAAAGTGAGATAGATTTGTTAAATCAACGAAAAAAGATTGAAACAAATGAACCGATTATGATTTCATCATCAAAGAAGTTTGTTTGTAATGCAACATTTGATTATTAGCTAACTGGGACATCGACCATCGTTAAAAGTAAAAATTTGAAAATATAATCTTTAACGCAGTTTTGTGCGCAGCATTTTTTAGAACAAAATTTCCAGCAGTTTTAAAACGTTAGAAGAAATGGTGGACAAGATGAATGAGAAACTGGAAAACAATGTTGTTGGTATTATATGGCATATACATTAAAATAATAATGAATGATTCGACTTGTTTGTCAACGTTAACTAAACACGAACGGATAGTTTTGATTGAGGATTTTAGAAAATTGAAAAGTTATTTTTTATAATAATGCAAAAATGTGAAATTTCTCAATTTATTCTACTTTTTGAGAAGCCCAGGTTTATTGCCACTGTTTACTTTTGAATAAGCAGTTTGTTTCATAATTGATATTTGATACTTCAAATTTGCGTAATTTAGAAACGACGAAAGGATGCTTTGGTTATGAATAAAATTCAGATATTTGTGATAGTAGGCATATGGGTCCTTCTCTCTCTTCTCTGGATCGCTTGTAATGTGAAAATTTATTTAAGGTAAAAAATTTGTTGTTTGGAGATGCTATTAGAATTGCCGATATGGTCTATTACTTTTGTTTCCTTAAATTTTTTTATTAAGTCCAGTAAATAAGTATTTTTCTGTAGAAAAATTAAAACTTATTGAAATTTATTTAATTTAGACGGAAAAGGAATGTTCGCAAGCTGGAGAAACACTATCAGGAAACAACGTAAGCTTTCTTTGCTTAACTTTAGCTAGCCTTTTCTTGCTAGCAAATCAATTAAAATGAATTTTGTGATCTGTCCTTATGTGACCCTCAGTATTAAGCACGTAAAGGTCCAGTGTGATGTCTGGACATTAAGCTAAGTAAGCGCACTCATCATAATTCAGCTCTTTTCCTACAGCTTACAAATGCTCGAGAACAAGAAGCAAGAAATAGAAAAAAAGTTAGCAAAGGAAAAAGAAAGGCAACATGGAAAGCAACAAATGCGGAACTTTCGGCAAACCAAAGGTGATTTGGTGGAAGACTCGAAAAAATCATTACCCATTTTTTCCCCGACTTATCATTTTATATCAAAGCACTCAAATTCTGTAATTATTACTTTATGATGGTATATTTTAATTCGTAATTTAACTCTAACTAATACTGAAACAAAGTATTATTGCGCGTTCTCTCCGGGAAAAGATGTACGTCAGGATCAAGTGATCTTGAACTATTCATCCTAATCATCTCCAAAATACTGTCTTTTATCAAGTACAACCGGAATGTAGCGCGATCTTAATAAATTATCATTTTTCAGACTGAGATCGTCTCTCTTTTAATCATTCCATTTTTCTTAGCCGAATTTGTCTTACCGATTGAAAAAGACGAAAATAATGAACAAAACAGTGAGAATAATTTTAAGGTGCAAATTGTAATCTGCTGAGTTTAAGGGAAAATCTGTTTGACTTGGAGGTTTTTATAATTTTCAGGAAATGATGAACTTACTTCTACGGTGAATACTGAGGTTAGGACAAGTATGGAAGAAGAAACTGAGAATGTAAACGAACAAAGCAACTGTGATACAACTGCTGATCAGGGCGATACGACTAGGATAATTAAAAATTATAAACGAACATTAATGGTATTGCCAACAAAAAAAATATTGAATTTTGTTTTTATTATTTGCTTTTAAAAGTAAATTTGAAAGATGGAAACCGAGAGATTAAAAGAATAGCTAGAGATTATGTGTGAAACTTGTGAATTAGAAACGATAGAAAAATGAAGAAATTGAAGGAAGCAAGTGTTGTGCAGAAATCGGAGAAACAAGAAATCGAAAATCGTGACATGCTAACAGGAAAGAATGGAAAGACAACCAGTGAAAGAGAGGAAAATCGACAATCAGTGAAAGAGGGAAAGAAAAAAAAAACTTTAGAGCGTAAATTCAAGAGACAAGGTTACTTTGATATTGATAATTTGAATTAATGTTGCATTAATAAATCCTTTAACTTTTATCCAATGAAATTTCTAATTTCTTCAAAATATTTAACAGCAAAATTGACAAATATATAATTCAAAATTGTTATATTTTTAAATAGTATTATTTTAAAATAGATGGCATAAGTTAGCTAAGTTCGACAATTTCCCGAGCATTTCCAGATAACGTAACGTATAATTTTACGAAATTTGTTGAAGATGATAAGCTTAAGATTTCATTTGATATAAACTCAGAAACTCATATTGTAGAATATTCCTACTCATCAAATACTTGTCGTTTCAATATCTAACTTACATTTCATCACTTAACAATTTTAATATTGTAGGAGAAGAAATAAAAAAGCGAGACAAAGCAATCGACAAAAATAAAAATGATGAGAGATTTAAATAAAAGAAATGAAGAATCCGCTGGATATTTCTCATTACTATAAGCAACCATCTCTATTATCACCTGCAGCCTTTTCCATATTTTCTTTTGCTTCCAATCACTATTTGAAAATACAGTAATTTCCTAATTCCGTTTCCATAGCATTCTAACAATACCTCACAATTTACAAAAAAAAAGAAAAGTAAAAATAGACAACAATCTGTTGAGAATTTAGGAACGAATGAATTAGCAAAAATTGAATAGAATTTTTTGTATATTTGAGTAATCATGCAGTAGTAAACAGCAGTCTACTTGAACCAACGAGCAGACCGACATAGTAATAATCAGTTTAGTGATTGGAATAATGAGATGAGAGGTAAAAAAATCTTCATACTTTCCAGTGATCAGGAATGAGAGATGTGTTTACTAGTTTTACTTGAATCCATAACACAACCACCTTTTCCAATTAAGAAATTTCGATTTAATAGAGAAATTTTGAAACTTGAAACACTAGTAGGTCATCTTTATCACAATTGTCCCTTGTGCAAAATTTATATGGAATACCCGTCAATATCCGAATATGACTTACGCTGAGATGTATCGGATGTAATATTTCATAAATTAGTGTTTTTACTTCTTCGCTTATCAGTATCTTATGAGGAAATGTTAGTCTGAAAAACGAAACTTCTTGAACTCCTTCGATCAATAACTGAAATATAATAACAAATAATAAAGTGTAAAAAATATCAATATCACCAGGGAATGTTAATGTTGAAAAGCATAAAAAATTAAGTGATATTTAATAATAAAAATAATCTAGATTATTAAATTATATAAACAAGCATCAAGAATTCGGGAACTTTTATAATCCAGATGCCCGTGGGATTCGAGAGTTGTTGTTTTCAGATAATGAAATCACGTCATTAAAAGAAACTTCTATGCTGAATTACAATCGCCTGTTGCGAAATATTATAAAAGTGACTTATGCTGCAATTGCTTCGAGAGCATTCGCCGTGGATTTTGATCGTCGTATGGCATAAGACCCGTAACCATCACAAGCAATACTACACCTAAACTCCATAGGTCAACCGTGAAGCTCGTGTAAGGTTGTGATCTGGAAGTATTTGTTCATAAACTTGTTTTCAATTTCAGTATTCAACATTAGGTTACTATCGGAATTATATATATTCGAACAAAAGATCTTTATTCAAAAAAAAAAATTCGAATACTTGAGAACTTCTGGTGGTACATAGGCTCTTGAACCACAAAAAGTACATGATACGTCATTATTATGCATTATTCTTGAGAATCCAAAATCACCAAGTTTAATATTACCACAGATATCCAAGAATATGTTCTCACATTTCAGGTCACGATGTGCTACTCCAAGTGTTTTCAATTACTAAATTCTCGTACTTATACGGAAATCATTAAGTAATCAGTGATGATAAGCAGCTTATTTAGCAATGACACACTTAAAAGTTTCAAATGCATCTCATTCAACCTACATTCAAGTTTCGAATTTTGCTTTCATTAAAATTTAGATAATTATGCTTTTGTTCGAGTTTGGCTTTTGCTAAATTTAGTTAAAAATTAGTTCTTTCAATTTTTTATTACTTTTTAAAACTTTGAAGTAACGAAGATGGAGGCATCTTACAAAAGTGATGCTTCATTTTTGATTTTGCATTTCAGATATTGCTATTTGATGGAATGAACAGTTTGGACAAATTAAAGGAAAAAATACCATGCAAGACTAATTATGCTGGAAAATTATAACTTCATCACTTTTCATATGAATCAAGTTAAAAACTACATTAAAAAAGCAGCAATGGCTGGGAAACTGAAACAGATTTTAGAAATTGAGAAATTGGGAACCATAAGCGCTTCAAGTAACTGTCGAAAGAGAAATTTGGAAATGTTTTCATTGAGTCTCTCATTCTTTTTAATTTGGTACAGTAAATCCTTGCCACTAGCATACTCTTGAATGATGCAAACTGTTGTGCCAGAATTGATTATCTGTAAGTAAGTAAATTTATAGCTTCTCATGCAAAACACTTTGTTATTTCCTTTTGTCAAAATTTTCACGCTCTAATAATTTCAACAGCTTGTGAAACAGTTTTTTTAAATTAATTTTTTAAAATTAGTTTATTAAATACAAATTTTTATTATGCTTATTAAATGCAACTTTTTGGTCAATTTTTTTTCTTCAGTGCAAAAAAAATTAACGAATGAACTTCATAAATTCCAATAATGTTTGCATGGTTGAGCATCGGTAAAATTTGTAATTCTCGTGGAAGAAAACGGATTATAAAATCTGTTTGTGACCTAAATACATGAACAAACTAACTAACAAAGAAGACAGAAGAATTGACAAATGACTTGATAATTATAGCTAATTTTGAATCTGTCAGTCCTATCGAAAACTTATAATACTTTAATGTACCTGAACTTCATTACAGTTTGAACTAATATGATAAGGTATCACTTTCAAAACTTTCTTCATCTTCAGTATTTAGGAATTATGTTAAGAGACAGTTAAATAAGCTTTCATATTTATATGCTAATTTTTAGAGATGGAGGAATTTTAAAAGTAGGTGACCTAGCCTTTTTTTCTAACATGTCGTTGAAGTGTGTCGATAATTTTGATTGCAACATTTTTAGAAAGTTTTTTAGACCAATGAATATGTCCCCTTTCCTGATGAAAACTTTTATTATTTTCATACTGGAATTTCTCAAGTATTCCTCCACTTTGCATATCACGATATATCAAACGCATTTGTTTCTAAAGATATTATGATCATAGCAGATTTTCTCAGTAAATTGCTATAATAAAGCCATACATCTTCATTCTTAGTTTTTTTTTTTTTTTTTTTTTTTTTTCACAAATAAATTAACATGTAAAGAATATTTGGAGTTGTGAAAATTTTATCAAATATTTTTGTTCCAAATATCCATATTCGTAAACTTGCCTCTATATTGCAGTGATCAAGAAAAATTGTCTGCTCGCTATATTTGTAAATAGGTTTGACACATCGAACTTACCAATTATTTCAGTACATTTATATCCACTGCTTAACAATTGATTACTCAATTCAGCGCTTGCTGGATTTTGAGCAGATACCATTAATTTGGTTCTGAACAATAGCAGCTAGTACTTGCGATGATTCAGGAAGGCAACAAACAACCTAACCTACTCTGCCATCCAAATATCAGCATCTCACCTTCAAATTAGCTATAATTTGCAGAGGACCCAAGAAACCTGTTGATAAAAATCATTTTAACAAAATGATGCCATTAATGATTCCTTCTTCTACTTATGCAATTTGGAATCGAAAAAAAAAAAAAAAAAAAAAAAAAACGAATTTTTAGTTTCTTCATGATTTGAAAGTGCTAGGAAGCATGTTTGTATAACTAGTAGAAAGCAGAACATTTATTGTCATAAGACAGAAGAAACAGAAAGAAAAGTAACAGTTTGACAAAGAAAGACACAAAAAAGCCAAAAACAACTGCAATGAGGTACGAAATTTTCATAACATTAACCAAGCAAATAAAGAACATTTCCACTGCTAAAACAAGTTTGATTTAAGCTTAAAACCGACTAAAATAGCAAAAATGAACAAATCAGCATATTAAAGTTTAGATATCATACTTTTCTCAAAGCTATTTCCATCAAACATTAATTTCGAGCAAGAGAAGTAATTCTCCAAATTTAATAATGTTTCGGTAAGACACATAAGTTATGCACGGTTTGAAACTTCAAACATGTTGTGGAATACACTAAAAACAACCAAATGAATCTTTCCTGATTAATCAAGGGAATTTTTTGAAAATGATACAATTCCCTTAAAAAAATAATTTAAAAAAAAATATATGCTTCAAAATTTGTTTTGAAATAGCAGAATATAAAATATAGACTACAATTTATTTAACAAGCAAATCAATGAAGAATGGCAGTATATTTTGAAGAATCCTGGAAGATGAAACGCTTTCAAGAACCAACCTGAAAATATTCCTCGTGAATCTGAAACCGAGCAAGCATATCAGCATATAGTGATTCTACCCAAAAATATGCATAAATTAAATTATGCAAAAAATGATAAATTCATTGTTAGGTGACACATTATTATCAGCTATTATTTCCCTATTTTTCAAATTAAAAAAGGGCGAGTAAAATAAATTCTGGAACTAAATCCCACCTACTAAATTTTTCTAGTTCTGAAACAGAAAATTCTAAACTCAACCAGCTTATCAGGGCTCACTCATTCCTATTACGAAAATGCTGCGTGGTTTGATATTAAAGCTACCGTTCCACGATTAACTCGTACAAAAAATTCAGCTTTTAAAAGAAACAAAAGAGAAGATATTACCCTTCCACACCGTTTCTGAATTATTTTCAGAAGAAAAAGTAAAAAGAATTGTTCTCAATAATTACCTTTCGCATTTTCTCTCTTATAGTCCTAATTAACAAAGCTGTCTGGAAAATCAACTGGTTAGCCGAAATCGAAACCTGGAAATTAAAAGCAAAGAAATAATTGCAGCGCAGGGTAAGTTTTTTACTTTCCACCACACGAGACTCCCAGCCAACAAAAACTTAACTGGACTACTGCAAACAAAGCATGTAACAGAGGCGGAATACCTGAGTTGCGTTTTGATCTTTGAAATACTCTTTTAATGTATTGCTGAAGCGTTTTGAATAATGGACAAATTCCCGTTTTCGCTTCTCAACTGCTGTAAATACAAAAATTTTTCAGAAATACTAAATAAAAAAATATAAGCATTCTGTCACCAAGAGAAATCATAAAAGACAAATATGAAGAAAAAAATTGCAAAACCAAAATACTACTAACAAAGTTGAACGCTCGGATGGATCACTTGCATTACTGCATTTGTAGCATCTAAAAGTTTCTTAATAGATGATGCTATCTCCTTTATTGTTTCCAGAAAAGTCCGTCGATCGGACATTTCTTCAGGTACACGAGCTAGAACTCGTCGCAGAGCAACTGCCCTGAAAGAAACTTTTATCTAGTTTCACAAAATTCAAGCTGTTTCAGAATTCACTGCACAACCATAAAGAATGGGGCCTAACCTTAACGACAATTCTTGATATTCTTTTTGATGTAGATTTGGTAATTCCAAATCCTCTGTTGGTGCAGTTGCCTGCCTCCGCAGAAAAGCTTCCTGCAACAAGGAGAACATAATTTCAAAACAACATTCATAAAGCAACTATTACCGAACAAGAGAATTTCATTCTAGAAGGAAAATCAATCTGTATTTAAAAATAGCTTTCTCAGAGCAGCGGGTAATGGCTCTGTTATTCAAAAGTCATGAATCATAAAATGCAATATTTAAAAGACAGACAATCTACTGATTTAAAGGTAATCTTATTGATTTATTGATTTGAAACATTTTTGCATGATCGATCTGCAACAATCGCTTAGAACATAAGATGAGTTGTGAAAATATATTTGAACGGTTTTCATAATTCTTGATTTATAAACTTTATAAGTTAGAAAAGTCTTGGAAATTAGAAAATTATCAAAACCGATGTCAAAGGTACTACTTGCAGATTAATATTCAACTCTGAGTCAATCAGCAAGACTTTCGTGAAGTCGAACAGAAAGGATGGCGAAGAAACATCAGCCTGTCTCAAAGTATTCCGCAACCGCTGGAAGATAATTTATAGAAGTTCGGGAAGTCTTGAAAATTAAAAAAAAAGGATTAGTAAACTAGATCTGGTTTATAAAAAAAAAATGACAAAACTAAGCAATCAATATACTCTATGGTAAGGAAGCGATAATCTGTCGAACAAGACACTAAAAATATTGTTTAAAGATTCATACTGACATTCGTTTAAACTACTTCTAATTCATTCAGAAATAAAAAAGAAAATATTTTCATATAATGTTTACTTGAATCACATGAACAGCACTATCGTCATTTCGACGATTTTGGACAACACGATCCAATACGCCGCTGTACAAGCATTGATATGTCATCGCACCTAGATATCCTCCTTCTTCATTCATCGCCATTATTACTAAAACCATACACCATCATAAAGTTGAAATAAGACTAGGTTCTCTGCATAAAAACGTGGTTCTAAGTAAATTCAATGATGGCACAATAATAATGAAACCGTTCGCAAAAGCTGAAAATTGAAAAATTCTCATATATTAGATAAATATGCAGAATTCCCAAGGAAATTAAGTATTTCATTTTACTCCAAATTTAATTCAGCTGAGTAGAAAAGACGGATGATAATTTGGAAAAATTTAGAATCATGATAGTTATTCTGGTAAAAAAAAGTAGATGACATATTAAATTCAATAATCTAGAACATACGTTGGCACATTTATTTCATAAACAGATTTCAAACAAATAAGCTGTTTTCTCTTATGTCATCACATTTCACACTAATTCAAATCAAATTCAATAACGTGAGAGTAGCAATTTACGAAATAGTCAACGTTATCTATCATAATTCCGTCAACACTCTTCAAGAGAAGTTTAACGTCATACAGATGACAGAAAAGGTTCTATATTGAAATGATAAAGCGAAATAGAGAAATAAAAGCAAAAGAAAACTTGGGAACAAAATCAAATAAATTCAAGAAGTGATACGAAGTCACCTAACCTGACGTCTGTCCGTTTAATGGATACTGAGAATCCGATAATGGGAAGCGAGAAAATGAAATGAATAAACTTATATTTTAAATGAACAATTTTTAGGATGATTATGAAGCTTCGTCTAAGTCTAAATAATTACTTGAGAACAGATTTAGAGGTAAGATGTTTTTAGTCAAAACAGAAGTTACGATAATATAATACTGAAGTCACGTTTACTGAAATTACGGACATGTACATAAGTAGAGAGGAAGATAATAATTGTTAGTTCCTGCGATATCTTGCATTAGTTATAAATTTGTATTCTAAATTTCAGTAACCGGTTGAGAAGGCTAAATAGAATCAGTTCAAAAATGCCTAGCAAAATCCCGATACTCCATAACGCCAATACAATATAAGAAAACATCAGCCATATGGAATCTGGACTTTCAAGTATCCGCGACTCGTTAAATAATGTGTCAACAAATCACATATTGTATGACAACTTTTGTTGGAAAACATATTTAAGGAATTTTCGAATTCAACAATCTTTATGACGATGATCTCCAATGGATCACTTTTTATAACTGCAAATAAATTAGCATTCAAAATTTTCAACAATTTTGTGCGAAGTTCATAATTTGTAATCTCCACGAATATACATAAAACTTGATATTGATGGGATGAAGACGGAAGTAAAGGAGAAGACCTCTCATCCATATTCCAAAATTGCAAAAAAGGAAACATCGTTATAACATTGAGCAGTTACCCAGCGATCTGCTTTACCTTAGTAAAGCCTAAACTTAACTGATTACGATTCTTGCATTGAGAAGCCATTGATAGCGATCAGTATGTTAAGCGTGGTGTGAGTAGATATCCAAGCGTACAAGTATGGAAGTGCTAGAGCTTTAAAGATGAATAGTACATAGCTAAGGACGACAACACTGATATTATCAGTAAACTGAATCACTATCAAATGTTATCACGGACTACAGTACATTTGACCACTTCCTAAACAAAATTTGTAAAGTAATGGACGAAAACTCCACTTT